GAAATGTTATGTAACATCCGAAAAATACAACCAATTTAAATTTTTCAAAACAACCCAATTTTCATTAAAATCTTTACAAAAAGGTTTTCAATACAAATCATTTAGAGTATTCCCAGAATCACATTGCTACAAAATCATGAGGAGCGGTACGATCGCGCCTTCGCCTTGCCACGGTCTCCTGAAGAACCTGAAAAACATTAAACCACAACTGTAAGCCCGAAAGTTTAGTGAGATACCCCCAAAATACCAACCACGTATACGCCCTTCCAGGCTGCGACCTTCCGGTCCAAAACATATTGCCTTCCGGCCCATAACATATAAAACATACATAACATAACAGAACATAGAACAGCCATGCATATCGGGTCTACTGTGTGACTGGTCCGCCGTATCGGGCCTTCAGTCCATCGGATCCATCCTCCAGGTCTAGTCATGTCCTTCGAGTCTACAGTGGGGTTGGTCCGCCCGCATCGGGCCTTCAACCCACCTGGTCCACTCTCTGAGTCTACAGTGTGACTGGTTCGCCTGCATCGGGCCTTCAGTCGGCCTGGTCCACTCTCTGAGCCTCGGCACATCTGGTCCGCCCTCGTGGGGCCTACAGCCTATCCGGACCGCTCGCTGGGCCTTCGGAATAACCGGTCCGCCCTGGGTATCTTGGCCTACAGCACAAAGCAGGACCCGACTCAAACCATCTCTAGTCCAAACAACCATGTGCACAAAACATACAATCATATAACAATCATAGCCAACAAACCGAACAAACAGATCACATAGCATATCATTACCCTACCCAGGTTACCGACCTAACCGGTCACTAGCATGGCATCACTTTATATATATCGGGAAACTGACCTTAACAAGGTCTCCTAGCATGTACCATCCTAGCTACCGGGATGCAGACACATCAAACAATAACATAATAACCATATCCGAATTTCAATCCAATAAAGGGCCGGCCTTGGTGCCTTAGACCCTGTTGATATAGTGAGGATAACTCACCTCGAAACTACCGGCTGAAAGGATAAGATCCCGCTGCTCCGAACTCTGACACGAACTCCTCCACTGAACATCAAAACATACAACTCAATAAATACCCTTAATTACCAAAATACCCCTGGAAGACAACTGGTCAACCTTGGACAAGTCAAAGTTAACCCCTGACTGACCCTACTCGCCGAGTCAACCCAATGACTCGCCGAGTCTTTATGCTCAGAACTTCCCTCAATCAACGACCCAACTCGCCGAGTCACCCCAAGACTCGTCGAGTCCAACAACTCTGAGTCCACTAGCACCCAACTCACCGAGTCATCCCTTGACTCACCGATTCTCGACTCAACCAGGAAATATTGGGACTCTTCGACAAGACTCGCCGAGTCCAAGGCTATCTTCAACCTACTCGCTGAGTTATTCTTCCAACTCGTCGAGTTCCAGGCCATCTTCAAGCAACTCGTCGAGTCCACCCATGTGACTCGTCGAGTACCACCGGTTTGAATCCATACAGAAGCATCTCAGGCCATGCAATTGATCCAAAACATAGATCCAACCTCCTACAATCCATCCATAACGTAAAGTGGCAAACTTTACGTGAATCTAAAGAGATCTAGGCCTTATTCACCTTAGAACCAAGGTTTGGGACATGATAGCTCCATTAACAACACAAGAACATGGGCTTTAATGCTCTTAAGATCTTCTCCACTCCAGATCTGAGGTAGCAACCTCATATCCATCCTCCAAACATCAAGATGCCACACAACTAAGCTCCCCACACAACCCCAAAATGAGAAACTAGGAGAACACAGCCCAAGAACGAAAGTATTACCTCCAAAGGATGCCTCAACATCAATGAAACTCGAATCCAAGCAAAGCCCTTTGATCCAAGCCACTTCTCCTTCAAGATTTCTTCAACCAACACCTCTCCAAGCTCTAATTTGCTCAACAATGGGGCTCTCTACGAATTTAGGGTTTCTGAGACTTAAGGGGGGGGGGGGATAAAGGAGGCTGTGGAGGGGCATAATGATCTTTATATAGGGCTCAACCCCGAAATTTAGGGTTTTCTCCACACAGCACCTACTCGCCGAGTCCATCTTTGGACTCGCCGAGTAGGCCACTTGACACGCGACCATAGTCGCGACCTGACTCGCCGAGTCTATTCATGGACTCGTCGAGTCACCCTCCGAAACTTACACTTTTAGCACTTCAACTCTACTCTTGCGATTCCGGGATGTTACATGTTATGCTGATATTACGGATTATAATAGTCATTAAACTCTTTAACAAGAAAAAGTAAAATTCTAAATTATTATTATTATTATGTGTGTATATATATATATATATATATATATATATATATATATATATATATATATATATATATATATATATATATATATATATATATATAATTTTGTAAGATCGTGAGACCAAAAAAATATATATATTATTTTCAGAACTTGAATTAACTAAAAAAAAATAATAAAAAAAATCTTTTTTTTTTTGAAAAATACGTGAAATATTCTAAATAGAATATTACAGTGACATATTCTAAAATATAATTTTAAAATGCAAAATAAATGGAAAAATCTAAAAATTCTTTTTTTAAATATTATTTTCGGAACTTGAATTAACTAAAAAAAATAAATAAATAAAAAATTCTTTTTTTTTTGAAAAATACGTGAAATATCCTAAATAGAATATTACACTGTACATACTCTAAAAATAATTTTAAAATGCAAAATAAATGGAAAAATCAAAAAATTCTTTTTTTTAAATATTATTTTCGGAACTTGAATTAACTAAAAAAAATTAAAAAAAAAAATTAAAAATTAGGCCGTCTCACATGAACCTAACCCTATATATATATATATATATATATATATATATATATATATATATATATATATATATATATATATATATATATATATATATATATATATATATATAGGGTTAGGTTCATGTGAGACGGCCTAATTTTGTGAGACCGTGAGACACATTTTTTTAATTTTTTTTTATTTTTTTAATTTTTTTTTAGTAAATTCAAGTTCCGAAAATAATATTTAAAAAAAGAATTTTTTGATTTTTCCATTTATTTTGCATTTTAAAATTATTTTTAGAATAAGTACAGTGTAATATTCTATTTAAAATATTTCACGTATTTTTCAAAAAAAAAAAAGATTTTTTTTTATTTTTTTTAGTTATTTCAAATTCCGAAAATAATATTTAAAAAAGGAATTTTTAGATTTTTCCATTTATTTTGTATTTTAAAATTATTTTTTAGAATATGTCAGTGTAATATTGTATTTAGAATATTTCACGTATTTTAAAAAAAAAATACGGGATTTTTTTATTTTTTTTAGTTAATTCAAATTCCGGAAATAAGATTTAAAAAAAGAATTTTTAGATTTTTTAATTTATTTTGCATTTTAAAATTATTTTTAGATTTGGTCTCACGGTCTCACAAAATTAGAATGGTCTCAAATAAACTTGAACCTATATATATATATATATATATATATATATATATATATATATATATATATATATATATATATATATATATATATATATATATATATATATATATATATATAATATGTCCGTTTGTTAAATTATAATATAAGAATCTATTAAATTCAAATGAGTTTAATACATTGTTTTGAGATTAAAAATTTTAAATTTTAGATACCATAATGCGTAGCATTTCAAATTAAATAACATTAGTAGAGACAGATACCATCACAAGTTTGGAAAATCCAAGTAGGACCGTTTGGTTATACTACCTAAATTTTTGTTCTTTAGAATCTTGGGAGGATCTAGTAATATCATCAAATAGTTTTCTATAATTAATTAGTATCTAAAGTAGATGTGTAAGTAAACCGAAGACAACTCGGTAAAAGTTTGATTTGAGATCGAAATAAATGAACCGGATCCGAGTTCCACTTGCAAAGGATGCTCAAGGCCAGGAGCCCCCCCCCCCCCCCCCCCCCCCCCTTTCCTTTTTATTTTTTAATTTTTATTATTATTATTATAATTATAACCGATTATAAATCAATAAGTTTAATACACATTAGTCCCAAAAATAAAAAGAATGGGTTGTTGCCCTGTGCTCGTTCGCTTGAGATTTTGAATCAATAAGTTTAATACACATTCATTTGACGCCTGCGATGGTCATCAAGCTAAAATTATATTTTCAATTTCCTTGTTCAATGTTCCCAGCCCCATAGATTTAGTTCATGATACAAAAAAAAAGGTTTTACTACAAAATATTTTGTTCAATTAGTGGCCTCGTTAACCAAAACAAGCTTAAACGAGTCTCTCTCTCTCTCTCTCTATATATATATATATATAGACACACACGTTTATTTAGACTGGTTTAGACTTGCAAGTCCACTAAATTGTTCACGAACCGAGCTCGAGCTCGCGATTCCTCAAAATTAAACGAGCCAAGCTCAAGCTTGATTAGGCTCGGGTTCGAGTTTGGCTCGTTTACACCCCTATCTAAAAAGCTACAAACACATCTTTTAACCTAAATTATACTTCCCTAAAAATAAAACCATGTTATTATTTGTAAAGATGAAAATATTAGATAAGTAAACGAAATAGACAATTATATTATGCTTCAAATAAGAGAACTTTAAATTACAGAGATCAGTTCCATATAAATTAACTAGAATACGGGAGACCTCACCAAAAATCTTCTTCATCTTAATATTTAATCCGCTGCTTCGGATGTTGCAAAGAAATCGTCCCGTGAATATGAGACCAAGTAATGCTGGAGTAGGTGATTAATTAATAATTAGACATTGCTGATGTTCTCTTCATCGTTGACTTAATATTTTAGAACCCCCCCTTTCCCCACCCCCGGCACCACACACACACACCAACCCACCCATCACCCTACGCACCCTTCCCTATATATAGACATTGCATACGCCCTTCATCTACCACAACATAATCTTCTTTCTCTCGAACATCTTCTACTTGGTGAAATTGTCATAATCATGGCTTCATCAACTTTTTCTTCTTTGTTTAAGCTTTCAACCTTCATTTTATGTTTATGGGTTCTGTTTGGGACTACTTCAGGTCAACTATCAGCAAATTTCTATGCTAGAACATGTCCTAATTTTCGTTCGGTTATAACAAGAGCCGTGAATTCAGCTGTTGCAAGTGAAGCTCGCATGGGAGCTTCGTTGCTTCGCCTCCATTTCCATGATTGCTTTGTTAATGCAAGTATCCTACTTCCTAATGCATCTCTTGGCCTTGTCCACACATAATTAGCTTTGCTTAATTACAGTCAAGTTGGTAGCTGTCTTTCTCAAGTTATATGATTTTATCTTTCACTATTTAATGCATATATAACAAAACTAACATGTGTAGGATTTCTTGATTTCAAATAAGAGAATCACTAATGCATTCAACTCTATAAGGCCTAATGCATTGCAAAATCAACCTTCCGTTTTCATATAACTTTGTGCATGATTTAATCCTACAAATCCATTAAACCTATATATGAAGTTCAATGGAACGTATATATCATTTTTTTACTAGCTAATCATTTTTCCATTCAACCGTACATTGTGCATTGAATTTTAAATCCAATCGATCGTATGCCAACTCGGTGTGTTTACCCCACCGAATCTTGGAGTCTGATAACTCCATTCAACCATACATCGTGAATGATCTACGATTCTATATCCTTATGATATTTAGAAATAAATAAAAACAAAGCGTTTGATTTGAAAAGAAGACATTATCTATTTGAAATAGATCATCCATCATGCAGGGATTATATGTTTGTATATTGTGTGTGTGAAATGTTGACCAACAACTTATTCTCGTTGTTGTGTTCTTTTCTAGTTGCTTAAATCCCTTGGCCACAATTGACTTGATACGTTTGTTTAATTTGAGTTCCATTCATAGTGGCTTCTCACACGGTGTTTCCTTGTTGACTTCAAAATGTATACTTTAATAGTTGACCTTCACATCAATACTCTTTCTGATTATACAGATGCTTATGAACAGAAAATGCCAAAAGTATTCTTCATTCTTTATGTAGCCAACAAAAACGACAAAAAGTCGTTTGTTTTATTGTCTTAATAAATAAGTTTTATCATTAGTTGAAGAAAACAAATATTCTTCCGTTAATTAACATGCTTTGAAATATATAGGGATGTGATGCATCTGTGTTATTGGACGACACTGCAAACTTCACCGGAGAAAAGAATGCGGGTCCAAATAGCAATTCCATCAGAGGATTCAATGTCATTGATACCATTAAAACGCAATTAGAGCGCCAGTGTCCAGGTGTTGTTTCTTGCGCAGATATACTATCTGCTGCTGCTCGAGATTCCGTTGTGGCTGTAAGTAGAAAATTAAAGTTCAGCGTAAATAAGTTCTTTCTCTACAACCTCCGGTTACTCTAGAGGTTATCAGTTTGATTAAGTCATCAACTTAAGAACAGTGATTTTGTCTTATTTCAGCTTGGTGGACCAGGTTGGAGCACTGTATTTGGAAGAAGGGACTCCACAACTGCAAGCCAAAGTGCCGCAAATTCTAACCTCCCTTCACCAGCTTCAAGTCTTAGTAGTCTCATCTCATCCTTTTCAAACAAAGGATTTACTGCTAACGAAATGGTAGCTCTCTCTGGTGAGTTACTTTGATTGATTGGGCAACATATCCTCTGCGATAACAACTTTAAAGTTCATTAATTAATTATCTTGTGTGGCTTACTTAATTAATACATCATCAAGGGTATCTTAAACGAAGGATACAATAAGTTACACCTTCTAAATTTACTCAGATTTGAGATGACTTCTCATTCTTCTAAATTTCAATACATGCATGGCTCCTCACAAATATATATATATATATATATATATATATATATATATATATATATATATATATATATATATATATATATATATATATATATATATATATATATATATATATTTATGTGTCGTGTAGGAGCTCATACAATTGGTCAAGCAAGGTGCTCCGTATTCCGTAGTCGTCTTTACAACGAGAATAACATAAACTCATCATTTGCGACATCCTTGAGAGCAAACTGTCCTTCCAGTGGTGGTGACAATAATCTTTCACCACTAGATTCTACAGCTACATCTTTCGATAATAGATACTATAATGATCTGATTAGCCAGAGGGGATTGCTGCATTCAGATCAAGAACTGTCTAACGGGGGTTCAGCTGATGCACAAGTGAGGACCTATGGATCGAATCCTTCTGTTTTCTTTCGTGACTTTGCAGCTGCTATGGTGAAGATGAGCAATCTTAGCCCTCTAACCGGCTCCAGTGGTCAAGTTAGGACCAACTGCAGAAGAACCAATTAATAATCTCTTTTATTGCACAGCAGGAGAACATTCATCAACGAGTGTTGTAACACCATCGATCTTACATTTCTTTTTCCTATCCCCTCGCAGGCTTGCTTCTTTAAATAGATTTATAAACCTTAAAAAAAAAAAAACATCTATCGAACTGTACTTGTAAGAAACTGAGATATTATAGATTCATTAATAAATAATGCATGTGTTATTCTCTAAAATGTTGTCTCGTTGATGTTTTCTCCTAGATATTCCGTATAAAACTTGAGGTTGCAATTCTTAAAGTTAGGAGCTAGCTCACTTGGTATAAAGACTTTGCCTCTTAAATTTGAGGTCTCCAGTTCTATGTCAAGCGTTGACAATTTCCTGATACTCGTGTACGCTAACACTAACCCACCGTACGCTACAAAGAAAATAAATAAATCAAAAATCAAAAGTCAATATCAAAAAATATTCTGAATTGTCTTTGGCATGTAGTTCAAAAATTTTAAAATTAACAAAATAAAAACAAAAATAATAATAATTCAAATAAAAAGAATTAAAAAATTATGTAATTGAAGAAACATCAAAAAATAATAAATAACAAAAAAGTTTAAAAAAAACATAAACATAAATATATATATATATATATATATATATATATATATATATATATATAATATATACAAAGCCTGACTCCATTATTATAATATATGGATGCCCGCAACATGGTATCTTTTCTTAGTTCTAAATAACAAATCTACAAAATAAAACCACTACAAGAAAATTCCCTTTTAATGACCAATTATTAGTAACCACTTAAAATCCGGTCACTAATATCATCATTTAGTGACCATTTATTAAGTCGTCACTGAATTATGGTAATGCTACAAGTTTAGTGATTGATTGTTTGATGGTCGTCACTCTCCGTTCATTAACTCTAGAAAAAAAGATCATATTTTAATATCATAATTAGCTTAGTGATTAAAAATAATGATCACTGCATTGAAGGCCTAATGACAAAAAAATGATCACTTCATTTGACGCATAGTGACAAAAAATAGTGGTCACTTAGTGATCTTCTCTATTCAAACCCACCTAAATGTCATGTGGGATGACTTTAACGAAACAATATGGTCATTGAAATACAAAATAAAAATAGGTCCAGTGACCACAAAAAATGGGGACTAGCTTTGTATACTTACTTTTAACGGGAAAAATATACGGTCAAAATAACCTTAAAAATTTACCAACATATAGTTACTTTTAATGGCAATACATGTCATCAAACCACAAGGGTAAGAATGTAAAATACAAGTGGCAATACAATTATACAAGACACGCTCACACGCAGACCATTTTTCACGTATAAACGGATGCAAACCAAGTGGCAATACAATTATACAAGACACGCTCACACGCAGACCATTTTTCACATATAAACGAATGCAAACCAATCTCTCCCATCGTTTCACCGTTGTTCTCATCCACCATCTGTAAGCCCTAAACCTTCCCCAATCTCCAATTCATCATCACCAAATCCAATTTCTATTACCTAGGGTTTTTGTGTCAGCCGAGATTTTCAAGGATGTTCGGCGACCAACATTATCTATACCCAACTCATCACATTATAAAAAAAGTCCGAGAAGAATTCATCAAAAATCGTCATCCTGGCAAAAGCCTTACTTCTTACTTACGACAATGTTTGTCCCTACGCCCCCTTCCACCTACTGGCGCCGCCACCTCCTTCCCCACATCCTCCGGTATCTCTTTCTCTCTATCTCAATCATTTTCCCCTTGTGATTTCATCGATTGAATGAGATTTTGAAAGAAGGTTACATGGATAGTTGAATGTATGTTCTTATGATCAGCATCTTAGGGATACAGTTCATCTTCTCCTCCATTCAATAGAATGAGCACAACAGCTGTTCGATGAAATGCTTATATGAATTGGAAGTGCATTTTGAATATATCTATCTCCAATTGTTCATAATTGGTGAGCTCTCTCTCTCTCTCTCTCTCTCTCTCTCTCTCTCTCTTTCTCCAATTTGTTTTAATCAGTCCAGGTGTAACAAACTCATCCTAATTGTGCATTAATGAAGTTTCTTACCATGTTATGGATATAATTCATTGGGTAAAGAAATTGCAGATTACTGACTCTTTGAAGAAAGCTAAAATTTAAAAAGCTCATGTTTGAATCTTTTTATGGAGTCTGGGAAGTCGTTCACTTTGTGCCAGCTGGAAGCTTGGTCAGCTGAGTATAAGGTTAGGAGAGGTGCTACGCGGACTCTTGAGGTGGAGGAAATTGATAAAAATGATGACAGTTGTGGGCTGGGTGGTGATGGTGGTGAGTTGATTTGCTGTGATAATTTCCCCTCAACTTTTCATCTAACATGCTTATGTGTACAGGTGTGTATATGTGTCTTGATTTCCTTTCATTTATATTTTTACTTTCATAATCCTTTTGTCTTTATTTTTGGTTAATTTATTTGGCTATTTGTATCCCATTTTATGTGTCTTGTTTTTTCCAAGAGCTAACTAAAGGCAATTGGTATTGTTCAAAGTGCTCTTGTTGGATTTGTGGGAATGTGGTTAATGATAACGAGGCTTCAAGTTTGGATGGCCTGAAATGTTTGCAATGTGAACATAAATGTAAATTTTAATATAAAATCATTTATTCTTTCTTGTCAATATCTAAAATTAAAACAAATTGGTTAAATACATCAACATTTTATTTACAGACCATGAGGAATGTCATGGAGAAACCAAAATAGAAAGAGAATTGATGTGGTTCTGTGGGAAAGCTGCAAGGAGGTAAGAATCGAAATCGAATTAGAATTGGAATCTGTGAATTTATTTGACATTATTAATAAATTTTGAAGTTGGTCTTTTATAGATTTATTCCGGGCTTCATTTCCAGATTGGAATTATGAATTCCATTTCCGATGGTTTCTCGTGGACCCTTCTGAAATGCATACATGGCGACCAAAAGTTTCATGCCGGATTGGTTGCTTTGAAAGCTTAATGCAAGTTGAAACTAGCAGTTGCACTTACAATTATGGAGGACTGTTTTCTTCCCATGGTGGATCCAAGAACAAGCATTGGTATGATCCTACATGTTTTATACAATTGGGGGTGAACACTATTACCATTTCATGAATTTTTTTCACTAATTAACACAACCTTTTGGTGATAATTATTTCGTTTGATTTTTTTTCAGATCAGAATTTGCAAGTCTGAACTATGAGGGGTTCTATACAGTGATCTTGGAGAAAAATGACGTAATACTTTGTGTAGCATCATTAATGTATACAAATTGGTGATATTTTCTAGCATTGAATAGTAAATGGCCATTTTGCCCTTTGACCTTTTTAACCCTATGTTTGAAATTTGTGTTCAAGATTCATGGGGTAAATGTTGCGGAGATGCCTTTAATTTCAACATGCAGCAAATATCGGTGTCAGGGAATATGTAGGCATCTCACGAATGCTATTGAAGAGGTAATCTTTTCATATTAATTTATTCGACATAAAAGTTTTTATATTAAATCTTGCTAAATTCTAGAGATAATTACAAAAAATTTTATTTGTTTAGTCCATGGGTTGTTAAATCTAACTACTCACGATGTTGGTCTTATTAACAAGACCATTTTACTTTGGACCAAACCCCCAAAAAAAACATATACCACATGGGTCAAATTCGTAATTCATTCATAATATCATTATTAAATTATTTTCTAAGTTATAACATATTTTATTCTATAATATAATTTTTTTAGTCAAAAGAAAATAAAATATGACATTGACTATTAACATTGTTTATTTATTTTTACCAAATAAATTATTTGTACATTAGAAGAAGATACTTTATAATTTTGAAAATAAAATACGTGATAATTTATGATTGGTTGACAAAAACATTTTTTTAATTTCTTTTAAACATATATACTTCAGAATAAAATAATACAGTACGTTATAATTTAGAAAATAACACATGTTTTATTTTCTATTAACTAGATAAATATTTACACATTATAATTTAGAAAAAGCAATACGTGATAATTTAGAAAATAATTTAATCAAAAAATTACAATTGTATTACAGATCTAGTCTACTGCAAAATAGTTACTTTAATAAAACTGAAGGCCAAATAGTTCGATTTAGCAATCAACCTAGGGACCAAAACTGTTGGATTAGTGTCTAAGTCTATAACTATTTTGGTATGTACTTGACCCGATGGTGCATGGTCCTTTTGGGTTGCCTTCACCAAAGCAACTTGATTGGAGAAATGAATAAAGAGAGAGAGGATAATATGATTTATTAATATGTTATAAGAATAATATATTAAAGGAGAAATCATATTTGTTTAATTAATATTGGTCAATAATTAATTAAGAATTAGTTTTGTGATCAAATGTAATTAATTAAACTAGAGGGGCTGATTTGTAATTATGTGATAGTTACAAAATAAGGTAAGGATTATCTTATTTATATGGTGGACGAATTTAAGGTTGGAAAGCCTTAGAATTCGAGTATGATAAGGATTCAAGGATTATCTTATTGGTTGCTTAATGGATAATCAACTAGATAAGGATAATGACTGAAACCCTATCTCTACAGCTATATAAACACCCCTAGGGTCATGAATTCGTGTATCCCTTCCCAAGAGGTCCTAGATACAAATTCTAAACCTCTCACCTCTCTCTTTATACCTTCTCCATTTGCTTATGGTGTTTGTGAACCATTAGAGGAGTGACACTTGCGACTCTAAGCATTCCAAAGTCAATTCAAGGAGATTTGGGATTGTTATTGCTACATAACAATCAATGTATGTTCTTAAACCTAATTATATGTTAATGTCGATTTCCATATGTTAGAATTAGGGTTTATAGTCTTGGATTTGAAGCATGTACAATAGAGAAACCTAGATCCAAGCTTTAGGGTTTGTATGAGCACATAGGATGTCTTATGACCAAAACCCATCAGTGGTATCAGAGCCTAGCTTGGTTTCAATTGTATTGATGCATTGTATAACTGAAAAATTCGATTTTTTGGATTGTGGAGGCTGGACTCGCCGAGTCCATGGCTGAACTCGCCGAGTCCATGCAGACTCGACGAGTCCATGCCTGACTCGACGAGTCAACTCGTCAGATAATGCTTATCTCGGGATTTCTTGCTGTTTTGGCATATGGATAATTACCTTATCATGTTAGATCAATATAAATCCGACTTTATGATATATATGACTATATTCTTGATCTAATTAAAGATAATTATCAATTAACAAGATAATTGTTTCCTTATAAGATAATTGATTAATTATTTTGAGTAAATTGATAAATTGTTTTGCAAGAAATCATTAAACAAATCAAATATGGATAATTATGTAACTAAATGTTAGTTTAGATTATTTGTTATTTGATCTTTGTTGTTATGAAAAGTTTCATATTTTCCCCTTTAGGTTTTATAGTTTAAATTTGAACCCAAAAGTTTTAAAGTTTTGAAATTTAAATAGTTAAAACACTAATGTTTTGAAATGTTTCAAAACTTGCCATCAAGTTTTGGAATTTAAAAGTTGATTAAAAGTTTAATTAGAAATGTTAAATTCTAAAACCCTAGTAATGTTTTGAAAAGTTCAAATCACACCCTTATGGTTTTATTAATTAACTAAGGAGTATAATTAAAAGAGATTTAATAAATCCATAAAGGTTTAGGTTAACCTTTTAATTGAATTAAAAGTGTAATTGTTAAAGTTAACCATATAGTATTTTAAAAGTATAAAATACACCCTATACTATATATAACATTAAAAGTCTAACATTATATATATGTATGAGTAAAAGTCAGTTTTACCGTTAGTAGGCCTCATTCACGAAGCTGGTCTATAAGGGGTGTTTAAGAAAATTTCCTATAAAATGGAGATTGAATGGGTATCCACTCTTACCCACCGCACTCTTGACTAGTGGAGGGTCGTTAGCCGAACGGGTAGGATAGGATGAAACCTTCCATTATAAGTATAATGAAATACCAAGTAACTAATTGTTTTTTAAATTCCCAATCTTAGTTACTTAGGCAAAGTGAATTGATGCAATTCCATGAAATTACACTTTGTGCCCTTGCGAAGACGTTAGTGGAGCGTGTGTGGTTTACCGGCACACTAAATGGTTCTAAGCAAAGGTAGCAAAGGGTGACTCAATGTTTGTCATAGTTCGGTGGAGCGTGTGTGGTTTACCGGCACATCGAATAGGTGATTGTAACATGTGAGGGCACCATGTAGTTTGCATGGTTATTCACACCCGCTTTGTGATCCTCGGCATCCCAGTCACAAACAAGAGGGGCATATCGATATTTAAACATGCCATTGAAATGTTCAATGAATCTCAAAGGATCTAGGAGTTTTCATAGATTTAAAACTTAAATTTTTTTTTTCGTTTTTCATGGTGGAAACTAGTGAATCGTCATTCACTTACCTTCAAATGTTCTTCAATTTGGGTTACGACATCCCTCTCCCGAGTTGTAGAATATTGTATTGGGTCCTAGCCTTGGAATTTCATTTGGGTGATTTACCAAGGACTCAATCAATCAACTAACTTGAATTCGTTTTTCTCCCGATGTCAAAGTTCGACAACAATGGTCTTCTCAAATCCCGTGGAACAAGCATTCCACGTGAAGATGATATTCCACGATTCGATCGAGGAACAAGAAATCATGTTTCACTTCCTCCTCCTCCTCCAGTTATTCTCCCTAACCCACAAGATTGTAAAATTGAAAGGTTCAATATCACTCAAGCCCTTTTGGCAAGTATACATAAAGAGGGCAAGTCGGTGTGTGCACACGTCTTAGCGATGAAGTCACACATTGATATATTAAGAATGATGGGATCCGTTGTCGGTGAAGCGATGGCTGTTGATTGGCTTCTTCAGTCACTTCCTAACTCATATAGTGAGTTCGTAAGAGAGTACTATATGATGAACCGCGACGTGACCCTTATGGATCTTACCTATATGCTTATTGCTGCTGAATCAGCAATAGTTTGGCGCAATAGAAAAGCAAAGTTGCTTGGTGAATCTGCCTTCAAGACCTCTATGGATATAGACAATGGAAATGAAAGACATGCAATGATCAAAAATTTTGATCATAAGAGAAAGGCGATGTCTAAGGTAGTTCCATGTGTTGTTCCAAAAGAGTCAATTTGCTTTTATTGCCAAAAGAAGGGGCATTGGAGTCGAAGTTGCCCTATTTACCTAAGAGATCTAAGAGATGGGAGAGTCAAAAGTATGACTACGATTTAGGTAAGAATCCACTATCTAACTCCATTAAGTTCCTATTCATTGATTCTTAATACATGATGTGATAAGATTGCATTTGAATGTTTTGAAGGATCGGTGAAAAGAAAGGAAGCTTGATGAGAGAGCAAGATGAATCTAATCACAAGAGATGGATCTTGATCACATGGACTTGAAGATTGGATTTTGAGCTTAGATAGTTATGATTGAGTTGTTAGAAATTCTTCATTTTTACATAGTTTTCAATGGATTGTAAGGACAAATGTTTTTCCGCTGCTTTTAAAATAAATTTTGACTCACTTATTTATTTGTTTACTTCCTTGCAATGAAATCATTATGTGAAAATTGATGTTTGCATATTTCTACAACGAATGGATATGATTCTTAGTTATGTTATTTATGGAAATGTCGAGAATTTACCAAATAGGGAGAGTTTCTCATTGCCCAAGTTTCAATTGGACAGAAACTTGGAATCACGCAACTTGGTTGCATGATGAATGAGAAATTTCATATTTGGAAATTAGACAAATTCGTTGACAAAGTGTCAATTGAAGGACTAGGAGATCGAGTACACAAAGTTGTGTGTTGATCAAGTTCACCATAAGAGTAACAAAGATATTCATCATGATTTACTAAAGGCTTAGTAAA